GCACTAGTCTGTTTCAGTTTATGTACATATATCAAGGCTGCACAAACCTTTTCTCCAAAATGAAAATCTATCWGAGGGCTGCGGCCAAATGCAATAATATAATTCATGAAATACAGATACTTCTTAAGTACAGTCCTTTTYTTTTAATGATTATGTCCTGCTGGAGTATGACATGATTTGTTTGTGTACAAACTAATACTGTATCAGAATTTTGTATATTTATACTTCTCATTCAACCACAATTAAATTCACTCTATAGGAGGCACAATTTACTGTATATGTATAGTATTTATTTTTACAATAACAAGCTGGAATGAAAACAAGCAAAAATGAAATAAAAGTAACAACTTTCTACTTCTTGCCTTTTTTAAAAATGTAAGGAGTAGAAAGTAAAAATAATTACTCAAGTAAAGTACAGATACCCAAAAATTATACTAAAGTACAGTAAAGAAGTATTTTGTACTTAGTTACTTTACAACTCTACACCTAAGCCATGTTGTCATACCACTAGTACCCCCTCAGTCGAACGTGATGATGGTTCTCCAAAACTACACTGTACAAAAAGTGATTATTAAATAAAAATTATTTATTTAACTCCCTAGAATGTTTAATTCTCAGGCATTTTATTATTTTCAACTCAAATTAAACAAAGATAAAAATGTTGCCTTGAAAGTGAATAAGTAATTAAATAAATAAACCAGGTACTGACGGGTGTAGGAAGCAGCAGCGTCCAAAATACATCAGAAACTCGCCCAAATGAGCAAATTCKGTGAGATTACGRGTTTTATACTGGATTCCYTTTTGTGTCGATTCCATCTGCATTTTCTGCATTGTGGAAATCATAAGGCACTACATATCCCAATCCTATTTTTATTTATTTTTTTACGCACCTGGGAAATTTTTTCCATGTACCCCCTGTAATATGCTCGCGTACCCCTGGTTGAGAATCACTGGTCTAGGACACCCTGAAAATTTAAAGGGATATTTGAGGAATCATCAAATGGATCCTCAAAATTTCATCGAGCTGCAAAACATACGCAAAAAAAGTTTGCTCTGGTGTTTCATTCTTTCTCCCACAACTAAATTTATTTTTTGTGTTCAATGAAAAATCAGGCAATTGTTGAAGTCTTGACAGCTGGATTCCTGAAAAACAAAACGGAGCAGTACAAAAACAATAAAAAGGTTTCCATCTGCATCCCAGTGGTAGTCAGATTAAGCCTTGGATAACAATAAAAACTTGCAATAATTCCAATTTAGTAAAAAACCTTTTGTTATTAATGTAAAAAGTAGAATTTCTTATAAACTGATAACACAGAACTGTATATTGACCAAACAGTCAAACACAAAATGTCAATCTAAGTGTTTGTGCTAATTTGGGATAAGAGTTTAATTCTTGCGAAGCATGCTGGCATTGGCTGTTGGTGAGTGGCTGAGCGCTGCCTCTGTGAGGGGAACTGTCTGCTTTCATCTTTTACCAAGTGAACTCCATAAAAAGGGGGCATGGCAAAAGAAGGGGGTGTCTGTATTGAAGAAAAAAAATAAAGAAGATATTACACCTCTGCTTCCTTTGACGATGAAACACAACTTTTTTTAGGGCTGTCAAAGTCTCCGCGGTGCACATTCAGAGTGGAGAATGGCTGTGAAGCTGGCTGTTTCTGAAATGCCCTCTTTGCTTTCTTGTCTTTTTTCCCCTCAATCTGTTGAAAACTTCAGATTTTCACTATGCCYTGGCTGTCAGTTGCTTTCCCTCCTCCCAGTTCAGGTGTCATCATTTCAGAGCGTTCCTGTCAGTTATTTCAGAAATGGTGAAATCTGTTAAAACCATGAAGGAAAGCTTTTCAGAATGGCAGATTAAAATGGGATAGGGGCATTGTGAAAGAAATAATCTTGAATAATACTGACCTGTATTAAGGGTATTTTTATATCAAAGGACACTCTACCCATGTGCCAATTTTTTGTCTTTTTTCCTCTGACAGCCAACTATACATTTTGACTTTCACACTTTGCTCCTCTCCCAGTATTCAACATGAATTAATGAACCCTCATTAAATCTGTGTGTGTAAGTGTGTGTGTGTGTGTGTGTGTGCTGATTTAGACAAGCAGCTAGCCACATCAATGCCTGGTCTTTCAGGGGCACAGGCGGCCGTCTGAAGAAAAACAGACAGCTTTTGTATGAATCCCTGTCTTTTCTCATTTAAAGCAAATTAGAGTTCAGTGGCAAAAAGAAATACAACTGTACCCTTCATTTAGACTGCTTCAAAAACCTGCTGTTTCGGGTCTTTTCCATAACATTTTAGCAAAATTACAGTCATTAGGCTACTGTTCTGTTGTTTCGTCTCTAATGATGATGACTACTGATCAGATTGTGAAAATTATAGAGTAGACTGATTTGTGAATGCAAATTTTATTATCCTTTTTGTTGATTACTCACATGTGTGTGTTGTGCTAAGGCTAGGCATTCTGAAGTAAAAGTGAAAGGATTGTAAAAGGTTGAGCATTATTTATGCATAACTTTGATTTTAATTACTTACAGTCATTTCTTAAAATTCTTTTTGTTTGCATTTAGGTGACAAGTATGGTAAGTATTTTATCTTTTTGTGATGCATTTTATAGCTGCAATTAGGGCTTGCTTTGGTTTATGCTGCTACTTGTGCGTTTGTGCTCCAGCCTTACTGACAGAACATCTGCTGCGCTGTGATCTCTGTTTACTGGCATCCATGTGTGCCGTTACCTGCAAGCGCACTGTCTGCTTCACCAACATCCACTGCCAGCATGCTTACCTGTAGCTTCTGCCACCAGTAATTGTGCATGGGGATTGCCAGGGTGCGCTAATGGCTGAATATGGCTCCAAATAACACCCAGTTTTGCCTAAAAAGAGAGGGGGAATTATACAATGCACTTCTTTAGGCCTTCTCTTACATTTAGTGTGCATTCCCTGTAATTAACTCAGTTGTTTCATTTGGAAAGGTGCGCATGTGTAATCAAACTCTTATGCAGACTTAGAAGCTAAATCTGGTCTGCCTACAAACCTATAGGTCTCTGTTCAGTTCAAGTGAACTCTGGTGAGGTTTGAATGCATCGGTGAGTGCCAAGGGGACTAATAATTGAACCAGGCAAATACCGTTGAGATCAGAGACCTCTTTTGCAAGGGAGGCCTGGGCCTGAAAGCAATCTATTGACAAAATTGACGTACCTGGAGAAAACCCACACAGACACGAAGAGAACATTCAAATTCCACACAGAAACATCCCAGGTCATAACCTGGGATCGAACCCAAGACCTTCTTGCTGGGATGCATTCATTCTAACCTGTTGTATAAGAAAGATACTCGTATACCTTGCTTGACGTCTTTATAAAGCGGACATCATTGCTATGAAGTTGAATGCACTCAGACTCAGGACACGTCYTGCCATATGGCAACACGTTCTCACTCCCGACTAGTCAACATATTGACACTTGATCAGGTTCCKTCTGCATCCAGTTTTTGATGCGTCGGGTACCCCCCTGGTGTCAGTCATTGCCACCCCTTGCTCTTCCGGGTTTCGCCACATAGGGGTCTTTGGGTTGGGAGTCTGTGGTTAATATGCGGGATCAGGATTAATGGTTAATTTTAGGTACTGAGGTCAGGGATAGGCTGTATAGGGCTAATAGAAGTTCAATTTAGGGCCTGGGGCGGTTAGTGTTTGCACATTTCCTACACTTTTCAAAAATATGACAGTGCYCTCCTCCTCCTCAGTCTCATTTCGTTAATAGCTGARGCGAGGMGGGTACCCGACGCGTCCAAACCTGGACGGTACCTGACSAAGCATCAATATGTTGACGAATCAGGAGTGAGAWTGGGCTGCATARGGAGCCGTCTCAGCCGCCTTGTGTGAAAACCGACATTTTCTGGTGCTCAAAGGGTTTAGCTTGTTTGGCACAGAGCAGTGTGAAAGTGAACCACACCAACTGAAAATGTAAACAAATGTTACAATTTTGGTCCCCAATAGAACCGAGTCTACCAGACTATCAGGTGTGAAAAGACCCTTAGTTCCCATATTAATTAAGCATCACCAGCATGTTTACCACTTTCAACAATAATTGTGTCTTCCCTGAATTCTTTTGAAATTCCTGGACCAAAGATGAAACAAAAAGAAGAACCTGGAGCTGCTCTTGACAAAGTTGTTTCATCGTCCTTCAGTTTTGCTTGAATTGGTGAGAATGTTTATGTGTGATGAGGGTTTTATTTTTTAACCATACAGACAAACGCAGCCTTGAGAGAAGTGCCTTCGAATGAGCATTTTAAAACAATTTTCCTGAAAGATTAGRTGGCAAGTAAACTTTAATTTTAGTGCATACCACTATTTGCCACAGAAAATTGGAATTTGAAGGTTATTGTTTTGTGCATACCTTCAAAACAAGGCTCCCCTTAGCATGGCAATGCTGATGCTGATTCTCTTAACCTGCTTGCTTTTTACTGTTGTGAGAGAGGTCGGTGGTGCTTTCAGTGTGTTGTTTACAGTCTGGTTGTTGCTACCTCAGCAACATGCCCCCCCTTTCCTCCCCCTTTCTCTTCTGTGTGAGCGTTAAGCCTTTTGTGACTTCTGTTAAAGGACCAAGCCGTGAAGGACAAAGCCCTCCAGAGTATGGCCTCCATGTCATCGGCTCAGATTGTCTCTGCCACAGCTATTCACAACAAACTGGGTCTGCCAGGCATCCCCCGTCCTGCCTTCCCTGGAGCAGGGGTAAGAGCCCCTTTGGCACCCTGTTATTGATCTCTTCTGTCCACCGTCACCCAGGGCAGCTGTGGGGACGACTACACTAACACTCGGGCCAAATCACATTACACACTACAGCTTTGCACAACTGTTCCAATCTGATAAACAATGATCAAACGGGTTGGTAGTCAAGATAACTACAATCACTGAGCACTAAGAGTTGTTTTGATCTTGTCTCTAACAGCTGCCGTGTTTTTGTTGTGTATTTCTGTGCTTTAAACCTTCAGTTATGGCAGGGGATGATATCGACTGGTCAGCCAGGATCCTCACAAGAGTAGGTGTCACACTTCCTTTGTCAGACGATAAAATTCTTCCATTTTATGACAAAACATTTGGTGTTTCCATTATTCCTTTCCTCTAAAAGGGGCTCTTTTTTCTGTTTCAGTATTAAGCCTTTCACCCAGCAACCTTATCCCATCCAGCCAACGGTCACAACAGCCATTTCAAGTGAGAATTTACTTGATTAAACATCYTAAAACGTGCACCATTTATACTCGTGGTTAATAAACATACTCTTGTTTTTAATATGAGCTCAAAAGAAGAGATATTTTTATCTATGTTGTAACCTCTGACAAATTAATTTAGAAAACAAAAAAAAAATCTTGTTGGTCACGCCCACAGGTGATGATTCTCTGACCAATCAGCTGTCCACAGGGGATCTACATCACCGTATAGTTCCGAATTGATTCATTTGGCACCTCCATCAGTGTAGTATCAATAAAAAATGTATTAGTTACTGTCAGTTATACGATGAATAACTTAAAACATTTTGAAGCTTTATTTTGTAGCGACTTTAAACTTGCTGGGAGAATCAGCAGGGTTTCTTGCTGTAAATTGAAGAAACTTGTGAAATCTAATCAGAACTTAGTTTAAACATACTTGATATGAGGACAATAAATTTGTATTCCCAGGATAATTACAGCTCTGCTTCGTATCAGGGGAGAGAAAAAAGGCATTTCATTGACTAAATTTTCATGATAAATTGGCAAAAGTACAACATAATGTAAATTATAATAAATAATTCATATGCGAAAAACATGCAGTATAATCTAAAAAATGTTGAGTAGGTAGATGAGTTCTTTTAAAAAAAAAAAAACGTTTCACCTCTTGATGACAATCGTTAATTTGTTTAACAAATAGTTAACTTGTTTGTCCACCCTGCGAAACTACTGCTTTATAAATCTGAGCTCGCCTGTAACTCCTCAGACTGAGGAAGTCTCTTGGAGAAGAGACCAAACATTTTTTTTCCTACAAAGAAGAACTCATTCAGTGGACCAACTCAGTTTTCTTTTTAGATTTTTCTACCTGGGTTATTGAGATGAATCAGGACATACTGTGTGACATAATGCTAAATATTATACAATAATTATGACAAGTCAGTAAAAACTGACGTGGTTTTTAACTAAAAGATATCAAAATAAAAGACCGATTTTATTTCATGATTATTTATTCTAACACAGGGTTTAGTTGTTGTTGTTTTTTTGTTTGATTTTAACATGAATGTCTAAGATTATACTCTTAAACAATGCAGAGACAGAAGAAGATTCTCTGTTTTTGTGGAACTGCAGGTTATGAACCCCCAGCAGCTCCASCACCCACGGCTCCAGCGTGGCAGGGCCGCTCCATCGGTACATCTAAACTCCGACTGGTGGAGTTCTCTGCTTTCCTAGAGCAGCAGAGAGACCCAGACTCAGTGAGTAGAGAAGTAGATTAAATCCTGTTTCTGATGGTGAACATTCTCACTTCTGAGTCAGTGTTTTCCTTCATATAAAGGCAAAGAGTCAGCTGAGTGGAAAAAGTCAGATTTTCAGAGATACACATTAAAATCTGCTAAATTAATAAATTCATTTATATTAAGATTGTTTTCTTTAATTGGAAAAAAACTAAAGTCAGTTTGTGTGCTGTTAGTTTGTGGAGGAAGAGTTATTTCAGTGTGATACTTTGTCTCATTCAAGGATAGAGATTCTTTTTTTTTTGTTCAAGTTTTTAGCACCACAACTGAAGTTATTAAATCTGAGTGAAGTGTTTTATTCCTGATTTTGCCAAGAACAAAGAAGGCAGCAACATTTTGGGTTTCATCGGAGCAGATAGTTATTTATTTGTAAATCCTAAAAAAATAAAGTTGCTTAAAGTTCAGACAGAAAACTAAAAAACATCACAAATAGTTATGTTACGAATTATTTATTGTGGTTATTTGTCAAAGCAAGCTTCTATTCATGTGTTTAACATTTATCCACTGATAAATATCTGAATATTGATTTTTTTTTTCAGACCTTGAATTTTTTTTATGAATTTTTTTAGTTCCTTTATTTTGATTGTAAGACTTGTACTCGACTCGACTTCTCTGAAACTAATTTTAAACATTTTAGACTCTTTGAAACACAATGTGCTTATTTTAAKTTGACCTGCTCTTTCAGTACAACAAGCACCTGTTTGTGCACATCGGCCAGACAAATCATTCCTACAGCGACGCCCTCCTGGAATCGGTGGACATCCGACAGATTTATGATAAATTTCCAGAAAAGAAAGGAGGACTGAAGGAGCTTTATGGAAAAGGCCCACAGAATTCCTTCTTCCTCATAAAATTCTGGGTGAGTGTAATTCATAAACCAACATGTTTGCTTTCTGTTTTATAATATTAGTTGTGCTATGACGCTAACCTTTGACACCCTGTTCAGAAACACAGTGTTCAGGTTTGTGTTCAGTGATTCAGAGTAATCAGGCTGCACAGAGAAGATTGCTCWCTTAATGTTTGCAGAATGCACTCTGCTATATTTGGACTTGCATAGCAGGAGAGCTTTTGATCAAAGCACTCACTAATTCAGTGTAATATCTCCAAACAATGGAGTGACCTGGTTGCACTCCTAATGGCTCTATAAACATTGTATGTATTTCCTCCCTGATGTAAAATGCTAACAAGCGGCAGCCAACAAAGTAGGCCCCGTACACACTTGGACTAAGTCCCCTCAAATTCCTTTTGAAGTGACCGACAAATCTAAATTTCAAATGAAAGGCAGAATCTGCACAATAATGAACGTGTAACTGCTTTGCTTAATGAAGGAGGAGAATTTTGTTGGGAGAATGTCTCRTTTTTTTGTCTCCATAATGAACAGGATGTTCAGGGCCAAGATAGGCTGCCCTCCAGGAGCAGGCCCGTTCAACCTTGTAAATCAGCCTTTTAATGTAACTTCATTTAGCTCTTGTTAGTCTCTCTTTTCCCCACTTCAATATAAACACATTAACATACTTTTTCAAAGGTTTTTGGGTTTTCAGCTCATCATTAACGTCAGATCAGTTCTTCTTCTTTGATAAATAAATGTTGCGTTCAAGTTGTGGCTGGGAAACAAGTTACGTCCTGGATATWTGTTCGGATCCCAGCAGCCAGCTCTGAACTTGAGCACAGTTTTTTTTTAACATGAGCGCTCTTTTTTTCCTCTGATCTTGGCACACCACCTGCAGTGAACCAGGTGCGTACTGCTTCRTATGTGTAAGGACCTTTAGGCATCAAAATTCAATCCTTCTGTTTGATAACATTTAAATGCTTTTTTCAGTATGATTTTTTCTGTCTGGGATATTATCATAAAACAGAATCAGAGAACGGATAGAGCTTRTTGCAGACAATTTAATCAGAAACTCTGGTGCCATGGTGATCTAGCCAGGCTGAAACAAAGCCTCCTTTGTGATTCCAAAAACTCTGACTTTCAGCTGAACATAGTCGGCTAAACCATTAATCTCACTTCTTTGTACAACCATCAAGATTTCAGGATCGGCTGTTTCTTTTATAAAACTCACCGATAAGTTTTAATGTACAAGTTCTGTGCTAATAACTGATACTTTTAGTATAATCTAAAACAGGAATGGGCAACCTAAATGATGGAAAAGGACACAATTTTTTTGTTTTTATTGTACCAGAGGACCACATAGAGCATCATCAGTGTGTGAATGTGTGTATTAATGGGTGAATGACTGTAATGTAAGGCACTTTTGAGTCCTTGGACTTGATAAAGTGCTATAAAGTTCAGGCCATTTACCATTTATCATGCACCCTTACTCAAATGTAATAAAGCTGTCATTTTTGAAATATTTATGCAAAATTYTGTTTATTAAACCAACTTACAGTGSAGTAACTTCARATATTTCATGTTCAATTGAAGAGCTGGGCAATAATTCAACAACAATGTATACTGCAATAAACGTGATCAATATTAATAGAAAACAATATATATCGTGATAGACATGTGATCAATATCCATGAAAAAWTTGTCCCAATAAAATATTTATAATGTCACTTAACTCCAGTCCAGAACCTCACAGCATTCTCACCAGTTTGGCAGTTTTAATCAGCCTTTTTTCTCCTGGTTTTTATTTCGGATAGATAAAACAAAAAAATAATAATCGATAATTACCAATATCAACTGTTATGAAACGTTTATATTGTGATACATTTTTCATCCATTTCACCCAGCCCTATTCAAATGCACATATAACAGTTGTACTATTGTTTAATAATTGTTAATGCAAAACATTTAAAGTAAGCAAAAAAAAAACAAACACTGAGTTTAATGAGCTGAAATGCAACGGTTTAAGACGACTTGAGTGCAGACTCCTGCTGGTTGTGGTTCTGGTAAAAAAAAAAGTCGTTTTTGTTTATGCATTTGTGATTTCAGTAACCTCATATACAGCTTTGTGCAACATATTGTAGTGGTGACATATATATATATATATATATATATATATGCATGTATTTATTTTATTTTTAAGGTTACTCATACCTCTTATATGAAAAGTACTCCAGTTTTCTGTTGTTCTTTCAGTTAACTTGAGTCTGTAAAAAACTTTGACTTAAAACTGATTTCACATTTTCTTTCTCTACAGACACAATTTCTTAAATGTTGTTCCTCTTTTTAAAAAAATGATACATRTAGAACAAGCAGCGCTAAATAAAAAATGTTGAACATTTCCTCTCATGTTGTCCTCAGGCTGACTTGAACTGCAACGTTCAAGAGGAGACTGGATCTTTCTACGGAGTGACCAGTCAGTATGAGAGTTCAGAGAACATGACCATAACATGTTCGACAAAGGTTTGCTCCTTTGGCAAGCAGGTTGTTGAGAAAGTCGAGGTAAAAAGTCTTCTTTTTAGTTTGTTTTAATCCTACAACTGAAACCAGTAGCTGTAATTTAAAATGCGGCAATGTTGTTCATGCATATTTGTTCTCTTGTTTGATTTAGACTGAATATGCACGGTTCGAGAATGGACGCTTTGTCTACCGGATAAGCCGGTCCCCCATGTGTGAATACATGATCAACTTCATCCACAAACTAAAACATCTGCCAGAGAAATACATGATGAACAGCGTTCTGGAGAACTTCACCATCTTATTGGTATTCACCTCTCTAACCTCAGTGGGCAGTGTCRCTCTGCTGGACTCTCATTCTTCTTTTCCTTTCTGTCAGGATGCGTTGGTGGCTGCAGTTGTCTTTTTTTTCTTTTTTTGCTGCTCTCACATTCCTTTCATTCCTCAGAGGATGAAACACCATCCCAGGAGCCTCATTATCGAAAGGGGAAAGAGAGAATAAGAGAGGGCAGAACCCCTGTTATTAGCCATCACATGAGGTCTTAAGTGTCATTCACCACTGCAGAGAAAGAAGAAACAAAATTAAAAAAGACAGACGGATCTGTTCATGTWGGTGTGCATGCAAAACCAACTAGGGTTGTTTTTTTATTCCAAGAGCATCTAAAGTCAGTAAAGCCATTTTATGAGTCTACTTAGACTGATCTGAGATGCTTTTAGAAATAGTTGTAGATTAAAAAGTGGTCAACCTCTCACTCAGTTGTTAAAGGCTYGAAAGAGAGTGCTTGCAAGAGACAAAGTGTTTCACACTCTGAGCRGAGCACAGAGAAAGTGAATTTATTCAAACTCAGATATTTTATATTGCCATAAAAATCTCTCCTTTTTGAGGACTTAAACATTTAAAGTAAATCTAAACATGTTTTTTCCGCATTTCTTAAAAAAAGAAATGCACTGCACTCCCTAAACATGGTCACCTTCCTCAAACAATCACCTAAATCATTTTTTAACCYAAAATATACCACATGAATTTTTTGGAGGTTCTTGATAAATTAACATTTTAGAAAGGTGTCGATACATGTAATGAAGCACTAAGGCTCCAAAAATCATTGTCAGGTATGGGAATTGGCACGAAGTTTGAATTTTAGAAACACTATATAAAAAAAACTCATTTGGATCCATAAACCAAACCAAAAAAAAGCAGATTATTTTGATTTAACTCGATGATTTTTGCTTCATTTTTACAATTTTTAGGCATTATTCTTTAACCCATTGCTTTCAAAGAATTCTTAAATAAACAGTTTTTAACAAGGTTTTTTTTATTGCTTTTCATTCCATGACCAAAAAAAGCAATGTTTCTGTCAAGCTTGGTTTTACATCAGMTATAAAAGAACATGCTTCACTTACAGCATTGGTTCCCAAAGTTGGGGTCGTGATCCCTTTTTTGGGTCACAAAATATCAAGTGAGGGTCCCCAGATGATTTCCAGACATCAATTTAAATGCAAATAATTTGCTAATGGAATTGCAAATAATTTAATTTACAATAATCATAAATGAATAGAATTAGTATTGTAGTTATTAGGGTTGTTTTTTTGTTATGATGCCAATATTAGCAAGTTTTGCAAAAGTAAACCAGTAATATCTGGGGTCACAAGTTTCTGCAAGTTTAATTTTCTGGGCCAGAAGCTTAAAAGTTTGAAAACCACTGATTTACAGTGTATATACTATGGCAGGGCTGTTCAACTGGCGGCCCACAGGCCACATTCAGCCCACCGGTGACTTCTGCCCAGCCCGCCATTGTAACTTAATTTAATATAAAATGAGCTTTTAAATCAAATGTAAAATTAAAATTTATGATTCAGTGCAACAAATTAACAAATTTAAAAGGTAAAAGATAGTAATACTTGTTTTTTTTTTTTACATAATGCAGTGTTTCACATATCATCGGGCAGCCCCAGTGTTCTACGTTGCATCGTAAAGTGTCTAGCTAGCAGGAAAACACAACTTTTTTTTGGTTTGTTTTTGTTAGACATTAGAGGCTTTAGTGCTCATAATGTGTTATAATCTGATGTATTTTGTCTTGCAGGTGGTGTCAAACAGGGACACCCAGGAGACGTTGCTATGTATGGCGTGCGTGTTTGAGGTTTCAAACAGCGAGCACGGCGCCCAGCATCATATCTACAGACTGGTAAAGGAATGAAAGCCTCAGCCACTCTTAAGACGCTCAGATCTTTTTTTCAAGGACTTACCAACCTCAAAACAAGTGGCAGTGCCTCTACGTGAAAGTCAAACCTGCAATGGTTGAAGTGTCAGGTGAAGTCCGTTTGTCACGAGTCTGATTCAAGTGTTTATTTGACTGTAGCTGTGAAATACGGTACAGCTGTTTTTATGTTTTATGGGAATTTTCTTATTTTTTAATATGTTCAATTGACTCTGATGGTTATAAGAGTGGCCCTGTCAAAAGACAGATTGATATGGTAAACGGAAATATGTGTTGTCTTCTGCTTTGTTATGTAAACTAAGAAAAAAAAAGGATTTAGCAGCTGGTGGTGGTCTGTACAGTAAGTCTTGGGAACGTTTTGTATGTGTGTGCGTATTTGTGAAAATAAATAATGTAGATAAACAGACATGCACCCGCAGCAAATAGATTTCCCAAAGAAACACAACACTACATACATGCAGTAGCTGAAAGCAAGTGGTTGTTGCAAGATTATTGTTTTTAAAGCAAACAAAACTGGCTTTCAGTCACGTTTATCTGTGTCGAAGCACTCCAGTCCTCAGACACCAACGAGAGAGTAAATGCACTGTGAAAACAAAACATTTTACCTGCGTCTGCTCCATAAATATAGAAACATCCACTGCTACGTTTTGTTTTGTGTTTTTTTTTTTGTCGTAACGAACTAATCTTTTCTCTGTGACAACTGATTAGAGAGTTTTTAGTTTCTCGACAGGTGAAAGTACTTTTAAAATGACTCTGAATTGGACTCATCTGGTCCAAAAGCACTTTGTTCCCCTCCCGTTGCTCACTTTATTGATGTGTACACTCAAAAAACAGATTGTTGGATTTACTTAACTAAGTTACGCCAACAATTTCCACTCAAATGAGTTGAGTAAAAGTAAAGCAACTTTCAGTTTTTTTTATAAATGTGAAAGTTGATGTAACTTAGCTAAATAAATCCAGCAATCTGTTTTTTGAGTGTTCTTTTGCTCTGTGGCTTTAAAACCACAGTTTAAATGACTGTCATACTACAAATCACTTGGAGGCAGCCTGCCTTGTTCTGTATGCTCTGACATTGCCCCCCCCCCAAACGGACTTAAGTTATCTTGTTGGATTTTAGTGGAATAATTCCCGTCAGAGAGCTGCTGCCTTTATGATCACAGCTAGTCCCCATGTTTCTGTTGCCTGCATCAATCCTAAGCCTTAAACATGTCAAAGCTATGTGCGAACTCCAAACGACGACACTAAAACTGTGATCTCTCTGCGTTAGACGACTCTTTGTGTTTGCAGTGTGTGTTCAATACAATCTGCCAAAGTGGAAGTGTTCAGTGCCTTAGGATAAACTCATTTTCATCTCATAGATTTTAAGTCAATTTTCTGGATAAACCGCACAGAAAGAACTTCTTTGTTCACAAAATATATTTGTGCAGTCCGAGAAAAACATATTTTTTTTATTTCTGTTTGCAAAATTTGAAATAATTTTTAAATAATCAATTATGCCAGAGCCAAATAAAAGAGCTGTTCTGTGGACGTCACAGTGTTACATTTGACACCACACCCTCTTATCAATGCTCTTTCTATGACAGGGTGTTTTTTTTGTCCTAATATAACACTAGCTGCATTTCCACTGACCATGAAAACGCGCAAATTAGAATTTCAAAAATAAAATTTGCTCAATGGAAACACGTCAATTTKAAAAAAACTTCCTTTTTTCAACAAAATGGTTTTGCGCTAGGATGACTTGGTTTTTCGGCCATATCGAAATTGGTATGTTTCGCAAAACTGCAATGGAAACACGTTTTTCGCATCACGGGAGTCACGTGATCAACAACCGGCTGTTTCTACTGGCGAAAAACATGACGAGGAAGACGACAACAGGAAGCAGAAGTAGTGAAATCAACGAAGTTGTAAAAGAAAGTAGTAAACTCACTGACTACAATTTCCCAAAAACGCTGCATGTGTAGCCGCTCCCAAGTATAAGGAGCTTGTCCCTCGAAAGCCTCGATAAGACGCCGACGTCTCCTCTGATGATGAGCGCTAATGTCGCGGTAGCAATATGCTATGTGTTTACATCCATTGTCGCCATGTTTGTAATGACTTATCACGAGAACAAACGTATTCACACGTGACTTTGATAGAATTTCTTACTTGATGGAAACACTGCAATTGTGAAACTGTTTTTTCGACATTAACAGAATATCGACAAAGTTTTGCGCAAATTTGCAATGGAAACGCAGCTACTGACAGACCCCAGAGAAGTTGATGAAATATGTGATCCTAACTTTAATGGATCATCTCTAATGGTCTCTGTAGTTCTTTWAAAAAATCACAGATATGAGCAGCAGACTGTGTGACAACGCAAAACCTTTTCAAATCACTAAGATTTTGAGTATTTCTGATTGACTGGTTCCTGCTCTCACACACCGAACCATTACCAGTAACACTGGCTCAAATGTCTTAAGTTACAATTTTTTTATTTTTGTTTTTAATGTATTTAATCTATAATACATGTGAGTAATAAATCGTTTATGTGTTAAAACAAAAAATAATTAATTTTATACATTTTTTTCATCAGCTGCTTTTATTAGAAATGACATCAATTATTGAAAAACACTAATCAGATGACCTCTGCTAACAAGTTTTTTATTATTACACTAATGTGTACTACAAACACCGCCTTTCCTGTTGCAGAACACCAAAAAAAAGTAACCTGGAGACTCTTGTTATGTCCTACGTGGTAGTGAGAAAGTGCCTTTGGTTTCAGTTTTCTCCTTCAAAATGATCGAGCATAAAAAAAGAAGAGAAAAAAAGAAAAGAAAAATCACTAGACCAAAAATGAGATATGAATGAAACCAATCACCACATTGCCTTTTTTTAAAAGGACTGAGGACTGATTGATAACAGGAGAAAAATATGATTAACTAAATAAAGCATATATTCATTTTAATTACGATGTAAAAGGATTTTTAAAAATATGTATTTGAAGAAATCACTTTTTTTTGCATGAGCTCAAAGACTTTTAATTATTATTTTTTTACACCTGCTGACAACATGCAGGTTGTCAAATCAAAAACACTGCTTCATGCACACTTGCAGGCTCAAGTGTTGGAAACACTAAAGTTTCTATGTTTCATTAAACACACATTCACATGTATTGAAAATCTTAAAAAAAGGTTACTTTTGATGATCTACACACAATGCTGTTAAACTTTTATTTGCTAAAACTTTTTGAATCTAAAGTTAGATAGCAGAAATTCTACAGCAAAAAAAAAAAACAACAACTCTAAAGACATTTTATGGTTAAATCTGTTTCTAAACACGACAAACTTGATTTTTTTTCCCAGCTGCTACATTAGAATAAATGGGGGCATCAATGGTAATACTGTAAGGATCATATTTACTAAAATGTTTTACTGTTTCTTACGAAGATTAGAATTGTTTTAGATATTTTAATCGAAGAGTTGTTAAATAATTACCGACGGTTACTCTGGAGGATGCAGAGATGAGTCGTTCAGTATTTTTTTTATTTTTTATTTTTTGCCACAGTCCTGTGGACAGCGTGGAGATGTAAAATYCTTTCCTTTTCTGTTTGCCCAGCGTATCTGTTCACATTTATTAATTGAATACTGTAGCGTGAGTTGTTCTTGTTTTCTTATGTGTACCTGTACACTTGGTTTTGTGATGACCTTGTTTGTATATTGCGAGTCCATTACAATGGTAATGTTGTCACTGCTGCACTGCTGATGTATTAACACTAAAACAGCAGGACTGATGCCGCCGACGGCACAAACAAACCTCTGCTGGACCACTTGAAAGGAAAGTGGACACGGACACAATTAAGTTCAATCATGCTACAAACATATCAGCAGTTTTAGCTTTTGTTATTTGTATTTTTGTTTTCAGAGTAGGTGCTGGTACCTGTCTGTTTTATGACTATCTCTGACGGTGGCTTTAAAGTGACTTTTGACACATAGCTGTCATTCACTCACTTTGGTTTTGTGTGCAGATTTCTTTTATTTCTACTTTTCTTTTCTTATTTTTTTTATTTGTAAAGAGGTGTTTTGTATAAAGGTATCCCTTAGCTTTTCCTGGTACAGATGTGTGATATCTTTTCATTTCCATGAACATAAAAAGTGTTGGAGCAAGGAAGAGAAAAAAAGCTGTGCTGTTTCCGTGTTCTGCTCATGGTCTTGTCTTCGCTCCGTAACATTACGATGCCTTCTCGACAACAATAGATATTTTGTAGCTTTCTAGATATTTTCTATGTATGCAAAATTGAAGTTTAATAAATCTGAAAAAAAAAACATGAACTTCTCCTTTTTGTCACTTGAATAAAATGTCTGTGCTGAATTACAAACCACTGCTTTATTTTGTGATGAGCRACATCTCACCTGTGTGGCTTTTACCTGCAGGAACCGCACATCAACAGCAGATGGAGCCATTACCTCTTTATGTAGAGAGGCTCATTTGAATGTAAATCACTGTAGAAGAGGAAGCACCACCAGAGGCAGGCACTGAAAGAAAATTATTTTTCAGTGAGTTTCTGTTTGCAAAGATTGTAATGATCAGGCCAAACAAAAATAGTTATTTTTGTTTGGGTCAAACAAATAAAAAGAATATGCTGAACATATTTTAGTTAGAGCTGTATATTTTTTATGTGTACAACCATGAAGAAATCAAAGATGCAGTTAAATTGAAAATAATATGGATTAAGGATTCTTATTTAAATGTTGCTGAATAAACAGTGAGTATTGTTTTTTTGAAAGGATAGCCTTTATGGGTAAAGAGTTAATAAATGTGTTAATAGCTTGWATGATTCCTTATTAAGGATGTTTTCAAGATCGCCTAACAGTTTATTACTCTTCAAGTAAGACTAAATAATGTTATTATAAAGTGTTTTTCCTTCATATTTTTCATTTACATAGATTTTGTTATGACATATTTTTAGTTGTAATTTTAAATGCTAAATTGTAGCTGATGATAAACAATGAAAACAAGACTCCATCCTTCCATCGGCACAAGATTACCCATATTGCTGAATGGTTTTGCTGACTCGGAGGTCATGTGATCCCAGCAGAGCCAGCAGGACTGAGTGTTTCCCTGTCTGGGCCTCAGGAACATTCATAAAGACTCATGGAGTTTACATCCTGCAGCTCCGCCGAACTTCTCACATGCCTCTTCTGCGCGCACTGATGCTGATGCGCTTTTTTTCCCTCACAGCCGTGAATTGTAGTTAGGGATGTTTATTTTCTTTCTTTTCTTGCGGTCATAGTTTAACAGAAATCAATCATGGAATCGGCCARAGAACCAGAGGAGAATAAAATATCRGTGTGGGTCTGCCGAGAAGAAAAGCTGGTCCTCGGCTTGTCGAAGCGCACCACCTGCGCGGATGTTGTCCGAGTGCTTCTGGAGGAGCAGAACTCCCAGCATGGATTTTCCACGGCGCAGTCTTTCTGCATTGTGGAGAAATATGGCGGGTTCGAGAGGATTTTGCCGAACAAAACAAAGATTCTGAGGCTTTGGCTCGCGTGGGGAGAGGAGCAAAAGAACGTGAAGTTTGTGCTGGTGAAAAGCGACGCGTCTTTGGAGAACCACGCCGCCAGGAGCGCAGAGGCGCGCGTGGTGCGCAGCAAACACAACCCCTGTGTCACTAAAGGGACATCGCGGTCTGTCGTGGGGGGCATTTCGCCCGAGAAGCAGCGTCGGATCGTGAGGAAAGCTTTCAGAAAGTTGGAAAAGATCAACAAGAAGAGGACGCGCGCGGCGCACAGAGATGCGTCCTGCGCGGAGAAGATGGAGACGTTGGTTCATCTCGTCATTTCCCAGGATCATACCATCCGACAGCAGATTCAGAGGATTACAGGACTGGATGTAGAGATTGAAAGACATGAAGCAAAGGTGCATTTGGACAGAATTAAAAGACATGGGATTAATTATGTGCAGAACATGTACATGGTCGCAAATCCGGCCCCAAACCCAGAGAGGGACGAAAAGTCTCTGAGTGAGACTTCTGCCAAGTTTGAAGTGTACGCCCGGCAGTGCGAGGAGATGCTCAGATTAGAGGAAGGGCTTTGGGAGCAGGAAGCTCTTATAGAAACCATCACAGCTCACATCCAGGAGGAGCTGAACCGCCGCTGGATGCTGCGGAGGAAAGAGGAGCTGAGGCGCAAACAATCAGAACCCGGCGGCGGGGTACCATCCTTCCTCTGCTTRGAGACAGACTCAGCCTCCCAAAACGAAATGTTTCTGGAGAAAGAGCGGATCAAAACGCAGCTAGATGCGAGTTTGTACATCGGTCTGCGGCTCAGCGCGGATTTAGAGGCTATTAGGGGCGATTTAGAGCTGTCCCAGCAGATTTGCGCAGCGAGGGAAAAGGAAATGAGGGATTTGCTGGAGAAAGTGAACAGTTTGGAAATGGAGGAAGGGGCAGGCGGTGAGGAGAAATGCGTAACAGAGGAGACGACCATGACTGGGACTTTGGAGGAGAAAAGTGTGTGGATAGAGCAAGACAGAAGTCTGTCCAAGGACCACAGTCTCAACGATGATGACTCAGATACTGGTTTAAGTTCTCTGCACAGTCAGGACTCAGACGGCCTCCCAGTTTGGGAATCACTGGTTTAAGTTTGGTGACTTGCTTAGGTGTATTATTTTTAACAAAACCAAAAGCTTTTACAGTCTCAGGGATGGAAATGATTGTGCAAAAACATCACTTTATGTCCAGGTCTTAAACAATATTTTCTTAATCTAACATCTTTTCACATAAGCAAAAATTTGTTGTTGTTTTTTTTATACCATAAAATAAAACTGTTTTAAAGACTGAAAAAGCTTGAAATGATTTATTTTGTGTGTTTATCTTTAGAGCAAAGGCCCTGGCTGTGGTTGCAGGTTATAAATTGAAGAATGCAAACAATAAAATACGACAAAAATCACTGTTTACAGCACATTTCCACCAATTCTGCCATAATACAAGAGACAGCAGGGCAACGCAGACAAAGATGTTTTCGGTTAGTTTTTGTTTCAACTTTCCCTCTGACTCCTCTCACCAAGAGATAAGAAAACCAAACATTCTGGCTGTGAACCATGAAGTCATAACATCTGCAGTCAAAACAGACACAGAGTTTAAACAGGTTGTCTTCTTCACATCCTGACAGTCACCTTTCTTAGTCATGAACAAAGTGTTGTCTTCCCTATAGCTGCTGCTGCTGAACCAAATCAAAATCACAAGCCAATAGCTATTTAACCCAAACACCTTATTTAAATTGACAGCTATTAACCGGTCAACTTTATATAATCCTATACACTCATGCAACTCTATAATTCAGTCACTTATCTTGTGATCACAACATTAAGTTTAAACCATGGCGATTCAAGTTTTGCTTTGTTTGTTCACAAATTTGAACCAAAGCAAGAAGAGATTTCTTCAACAGGATACAATTACACACCTAAATATTTATTTACAAAAGGAAAAACCTTTTGGCTTCAGCTCAGAGAATAACAAATGTTAAACCTGTATTAGGTTTCCAACCTTGATGAACCCACCCATGGGCTGCTTTATACCTGAGTACCCAATGATACTTAAAACAAGACAAAAGTATACATTACTTCCTGCGTCCCTGGAGTTTTATATTTACAGTATTTAATAGGTCTACTGACACAGACTAAACAGCAGATCAACGTGAGTTTTTCTCAGCATATAAAGTGACTAGGTCACAGGTTATAAAACTATAAAAAACATGAATTTTGGATTATTTGGGGTAAAAGGATCTGTTCCCATTGTTACAATTTTGCAACACAYTTTTGAACATGAATAAGAAACCATGTTGCAAAACAAACAATCAACAGCATTCATCTTTAATTCAAACCATATATTAAGTAGAAAAAGAAATGCTCATGTCAAACTCAATATACTGAAATGTTTCAGTTTTTTTCCCGTTTTCAAAGCAAATTCCTCACATTCAAGAAAAGAAATGACCGTCTTCTYATGGCGCTAACCTGACAGTGGTCCTTAATCCCTGGAATGTGTCACTTTGTGTTGCCAGCAGCCTTTGTTCGCTCGGTTGGAGGGACCTGCCATGAAGTCACTAATGAAGGTATTGACTCGGGAGTCGGGACCCCAGTGGCAGTGCTCTCAGAGAGAGCTCGGACCTCTGCTAACAGACTGGGACTGCCGGTGTGCGCTCATTAGACCTCATTGTGCTGGTGGCAGGTGTGTTAATCCTGTCAGGCTGGGTGGTGACCCTGCGACCTCGCCTGTGGGATACTGTACCCTCTCTTTCCGATCCACTCAATGCCTGTCGCCTCTGGTTTGGAGCAAATTTAGTTCAGCCCTGTCTGCAGCCCAGTTACTCCCGTAGAAACACAGCAAATGTAGCAAGAAAAGTGTTGGATTATTTCTTATGATGTTTTGCTTGATAAGCCATGAACTTTATTTACCTTTATCTAACCAGGTAAATCCCACTGAAATCACAGATTTCTTTTGCAAGCGAGGCCTGAGTGGATCTGAAGGCAATCCATGCATGCTTTTGGTTTGTGAGAGGAAACCAAATTACTCAGAATAAACCATGCAAGTAAGAGGAGATCATGCAAACTCAACAGAGAAAGACCCCAGGTCCAAACTAAGGATCGAACCCAGGATCTTATTGCTGTGAGGCATCTTACTGCTAAGCCATCATCCTGCCCTAACCCCGACTCCCAATTTGATAATTAGTCATTTTGAAAGAATTTACAGTCTTTATTATAATATTCACATTGTTGCACCTGCAAGATAAGTTTATGGAAGAATGCAAAAGCACTATTAGAAAATCATTTATTACTCTTTTGGTTTCAGACCAAGACATTTTGTTACAGACTAATAATGTATGGTCAGGGTGATTTTGCATCTTCCTTTTTTTAACTTTTATGAAAATGGATGCCTTCTTATTGTTATTCACCTGAGCTCAGCGGAGAGTGGTGAGAGTGGGCGTGGCAAGCTGACCAAGGAGAGTTAATAATGATGCACAGTGGAAACAAGGAAACTCAAAGAATGAAAACATGAGTAAACAAATGCAGGAATCACAAAACCTAAACATAATAAATATGTGAGAAATACAGACATTGTTCAAATGAGATTATTAGTTGTGTTACTGTTTTTGTGTATTTGACTGTACAAAGACACCCCACACTTTATTTTGGGTGTATGTTTTAGTTAGATTGTTCATTTCTGAGAGTACTGGTATTTAC